CAGGTTATTATCAAATGTGAGACGAGACACTAAGGCGGACATGCAGGCACGTACAGCAAGTAGACATCAAGATCGCAATCTCCTTTTAATGAACCATGTCTGGCTTTTATACTCCCATCTATCATTCAAGAAAAGGGACAAATACCTAACGCACCTCATCAGCGCGTAACATCTCCCTTCCCAAAAGTCGCACCATCCCTTTCGCCATTTCCCACACAGTAGTTTCCCTAACTCCGGCTGGCCATGCCAGGAAAACGCCCAAATGATACGCATCGAAGAAATGTGGGGGGGACGATGATGTAAGACGAAAACCCAACCCATGATGATGAAAACCCCATTACTCATTACTCAAGATATCCACCGGAAGCTACGTATCGAATCGGGACTAACTGGCTAGGCCAAGTAGCCGAGCTCGTCTGCCTCCAGACGCTCCAGGTATTCCTTCTCGAGCAGGATGTCTATGCACTTCTTGATGTCGGGGACGCGGGGCATGAATCGGGTCTTGATCTGCTGGATGGTCTCTGAGACGAGCTGCTGGTGCTTCATCTTCTTGCGGGACTTCATGATACGCACGATAGCGGACTGTTGATATGTTAGCATCCTGTAATGTGGGGAAGATAAGAGTGGTGAATACATACCTGAATGAGTAGCTTTCGATCCTCCTCAATCGTCTTGTGCGTATCCTCCGCCTCGGCCTTTTGCTCAGACTTGATACCAATGTTCAAGTTCATCTTCACCTTCTTGGTCTTGAAGCCGGTGTTGAGCTTGTAGGAAGTACCAGACTCAGGCTTTGCGCCCTCGGGTTGGGCGAGCAGAACCTTGGCCTTGATGAAGACACCCAAGCTAGGGTCGAGAGTCTCCTTGTTCAGCTTGGTGGACTCAGCAATATCATCGTAGGTGACGGTATCACTGTCGTTGAACAGCAACATGATGGCCATCTGGTAGGTCGAGACCTGGAAGGTTGGTGAAGTCTTCAGGTTCGCAACCTTGCAGTAGTTGGCCTTGACCTCACCCTTGCACAGCTGCCATAACCAGGTAAGCTTACGACCTTGGTGCTTGTGGTTGTAGAAGCGAGAGAAGCGGTCGTAGGTCTGAACAATAAGTTGCGGTGGGGTAAACGGTGTGGTGGGTGGGTTTAGAGGCCAGAAACCGGTACCGAGAATGTGGTATGAGGCATCGACGTTGGTCTTCATGTCTGACTCGTCCAAGTTGTTTGACTGCCACTCCTTGAACGCGGTGTTGAGATCCTTGGAAATCTGCATATCCTGGAACATGCGTTGTAGCTTGTTGGTGTATTCGAAACCACAGGCCTCCTTCAGCTTCGAGATCATGCTGGTCTCGGCGTCGTCTGATGCAGAAGTAGTCTGAACTAGACGCTTGGCCAACATACGCGAGTAGAACTTCTGGAACACGTCCTTGTCTTCGATGTACTTGAAGACAGTCATGATCTGTGTTAGGAGCTTCTCCATGTCATCCTCTTCACTCATCTTGGCGTTGGAGCGCTTCAGCAGAGTATCGGTGTACTTTGCGAGGAGCTCAGGCGACTTGTTGGAGCCAGACTTGCAGATCTTGTTTCTGTTGACGAACTCGCGGCAGGCATTATCTAACGAGCGAACGAACTCTGACTCTCCGTTGAACGCCTTGTTAACGAGCGCCTGGTACTGGGTGTGGACCTCAAGAAGGGCCTCGACGTACACCTTTGGCTCCAAGCTGTCTCCATCTTGCGCGATCTTGTCAACGGCAGCCAGACCTGCCTTGCGGACGTGGTTCTCGAACCGAAGACGCAGAGGATCAAGACCCTCAGGAATGCGGGCAAGCAGCTTGTACATGCGGCCTAGGTCCTCCTCCTTGTCGTGGTCAAGAAGGATCTGGAACTCCTCGCGAAGTGCTTGCGAGTGGCTTGTGATGAGCGACTGTTCGCATGTCCGCATCAGAGGAGACATGATCTCGTTGAGCAGGTAAAGTGGGACGCGCTCCTTCTCCTCTTCCAGACGGATCTCTGCCTTCTTCATGTATTCAACCACGCTGTTTTCTGCCAGAAATTGCTTGGACTCGTTGTCGTAGTATTGGGCGGTGGCCTCTAGGAAGGGCTTCTCGAAGTATTCCTTGTAGACATCCAATGTGGACTTGGAGCTGTCGGCCTCGTCCAGACCCAGCGATACGAAAGAGTCGACGACCGACTTGATCTGCGACTGCTCGATAGTCTCGCCGTTTCGCTGCTTCTCCACTAGCTTCAGGACCGAGCGCATGACGCTCTCTTGGCTGCCCGTGAACATGTCCTCCTTCCAGCGCACCAAATGCAGTGTGTAGATGTCATAGATGTGCTTCTTTCCCTCGTCCATCTCACGCTTGACCCAATGACGGTTCAAGTACCGGAACAGATGGTTGTTGTACTGGCCAGCTGTCGTGTAGCGGTTCCACTCCTTGATGTAGAAGTGGAGGAGCGCCTCGTCGACATGTTGCCGCGAAGCCGCCTGGACTTCGGAGAGATGCGCCTTCAGGTATTCGATCAGGTGCTGGTAGAGGTCCTCTCCGAGGAGATGGGCACCTCCGCGGTTGTTGGCGGCGTGGAAGGACGAGCCTGCGACGGCTTTTTGGGCGGTACAGAAGTTGTGGATGGCGGTGTAGAGACCCATGTACGTCTTCATGTCGACACCTTCGCGCAGGTTCGTCATGATCTTGTCGACACCGGCTTCGAGGTACTTCCATCTGTGAGCTATTAGCATCTGGTCGAGCTCTACGTCATCTTCGGGTTGGGGTCGCTTTAGTATAGCTCGTCCTGCCATGGCTTTCTCCGCCTGCGCTCACCATAGCGGCGCAGCTCTTGCAGAAGCCAAATGCGGCGGACACAAGACCCGCCATTCGAGACGTCACTGCAACCCGTCCAGAACTCCGCAAGTTGCAACGCTGTACAGAAGAAGATACTGGGGGTGATAGAGAGTAACTTACGTGGCGTTGACGTCGTCCTTGGCCGGGACGGGTGGCATACTGGAAGACATGGTGGGTTGTGTCGTCGCGTGCTCTTGGGCACTTTTCTGAGGCGACTTCTTGCGCGTGAGGAACTTTATTGTCGGAATCGCCGTGTCACAGACAAACGGATTGTCAAGCAACACTGGAGAGCGCGCTTGTTTGGTGTCCTTTCACAAGGGTGGATGGTGATAAAGGCGGGTTCGGTGGAGGGCGCGGTGAAGTGGTGGGGAGTAATGGTAGCGGGCGGGGAGGGCTTAAGATGTACCGAGCGGTCGATTTCCGCGGGTTTTGGTATGCGCCGTCAAGTTAGGCGACACACGGAGGGGAGGGAGAAGAGAAAAGTGAAGGTGCCGGACGAGCAAGGCGGCGACGTTTAGAGTCACGTCGTTGTCGCTCCATACAGTTCAGGCAGCACCGAGCTTGGGTCTTGGCGTTTTACAAGGGTCCCGTTCACGCAGCCTTGCACTAGCCTCCACAGTGCTCAACGCGAAGGCAGCAGAACCTTTGACAGCGAAGCATGCCAGCATTACAGTTCTTTCGCTCACTGTTCCCCATCCACATAGCGGATCGTGCTGTCGGTTCATAGTAGTGATGATGGTATGCGGATATCACGATACATCTCATGCTGCTGGAGTACCGCTTATCACCATTTTTGTGTGTGATTTGGACTCAACGGAGGTCTCTCAATGCGGTGCTCTTCAGGATGGATCCAATAAAGCCTTTTGGATTGGCTCCCTATCTGATTATGTTTCCACTCGTCCACAGTGAAGCCTTGAAACCCTGCTCTACTAGCTAGTGGCAAAAGATAGTGATGGTCACTCTATGATCTTCAGCTACGAACTTAGGAGTTCCACCACGGAGAAGTAAGTACATGCTCAGACGGAACACCGAATTCACAATGGCAGAACAATAGACGTTCCTTGCAAATCCGTTCCGGCTTTTTGACCGATGACGTATTGGTAGGATCATCAGATGCCATCTTATATCAAAAGTTGGGATAGCAGTCTTTCTCCTTGCCAAAGCATCCTACGTCAAACCACTGAACCAAAAAATCCAACAATTCATCTAGAAAACAACACCCCAAAATGCCATCTCTAAACCTAACCCCCCTCACCTCCCTCCGCCTATCAACCCACTACATCCCCACCCACTCCCTAATCCCCAACACAACCCCCCACAACCGCCCCCTCTACATCTACCACTCCGCCTTCCCGCCCTCAATCCCACCCTCAACCCTCGAATCCCACCTCCTTGCCAACAACCTCACCCCCCAGTGGCGCTACACAATGTACACCACAACGCACTACCACAGCACCACCCACGAAGTCCTCTGCATCTACTCGGGCCGCGCTCTCCTCCTCTTCGGCGGCGAATCCAACCCAGGGCGGGTAGAAACAGAGGTGAAAGCTGGGGACGCGGTGGTTGTGCCGGCGGGGGTGGGGCATAGGTTGGTGGAGGATAAGGAGGGTGGGTTTATGATGGTGGGGAGTTATCCCAAGGGGTGTGGGTGGGATATGTGTTATGGGAAGGAGGGGGAGGAGGGGATGGCGGAGAAGGTGAAGGGCGTGGGGTGGTTGGAGAGGGATCCGTTGTATGGGGTGGGAGGGCCTGTGACGTGGGGGAGAGAGAGGTTGGAGAGGTTTTGTAAGGGGGAGAGGAGTGAGTTGTGAGACTGAGGGGAATAGTTAGAGCATGCGACAAGCTAAAAGCTGCTTGTGTAGTGTAGCTGAGGTATGCCTGCGTGGAGGCAAGTCGTCCACTGAGTCTAGGCGATGGATGATGGCGTAGCCTAGAGACTATCAGTGTCTTTATAGGAGACTTACCACGGCGATGGATGTGTTGAGGGCTTCCCGGCTACTATATCACCAATTACGAATGAAGATGTTGATCATATGTCGTTATTCTCATAAGCATCCAATCATACAGATGCTGACACTCTATGTGGTATAGTACATACATAGCCTCCAACGCCCATGCTGTTTATGAATCTTGAACCATGATATCGTACTTTGTTGAGACGTGAAATGGGATCATGGCTTGGCTGCTTGTTTCGCCTTCTGCTTACCCTCTTCAGCGACATCTTCAGCTTTATCGTGTATCTTCTCCAGGATATCCTCAGGCAATGCGTCTTTTGCCCTTGTGCCGTTACCCCCAGCAGCCTTCTCTTGCTCCAGCTTCTCCTCCATCCTCTTCTCCTTTGACTTGATGGCGTTCTCGACCTGCTCGACAGCGCGCTCAATCTCAACCTCCATGTCGGGTAGGTCGAATTGCTCGGCGATGAGCTTTCCGTTCCACCGTTGCAAGACCATGACGTCTTCGGTCTCGTTGTTGGTCTGCTGGTGCACGACATTGGCAACCTGCTGGGCCTGTTGTGGTGTTGGGTCGGGAGCAGCACGCGAGAGTGCGCGGGTTGGGTACATGAGTCCGGCTGTGTAGACTTGGTCGAGCGTGCCCGATGGAGCGGGGGTAGGGAGGTTGTGCTTGAGGAGGAATTCGAGGTGCTTGGAGCCGCTGAAGGCTTTCCAGTGACTCCATGCCCGGTAGAGGACGTAGAAGAAGGGTAGGTTGGGGATGACGGGGACGAGCATAAAGGGCGCGGTGAAGGGCATGATGACGACGCTCCAGATCAGTTTGGTCCGGTGCATGTTCTGCCTCTCTTTTGCCAGCTTCTCCAGCAGCCCCGACACTCTCTCTTGCGGCAGGTACTTTCCAGGGAACAGGACCTCATATTTTGCTTTTCCGTCTACAATGTCCTGCCTCCGCTTCGCCGTGAGGGCGGGTATGGTCTTGAGCCCCCATTCCTCGTAGGGTATGCGCTTCAGGGCGTGGTTGCCGTAGAAGGTGACTTTTTTCTTCCAGTCCCAGATGGCCTTTTCATCCTTTTCCCAAGCGACCCACGTCTCATTGGCCTTTATAGTGATCTTGTCATAGTAGGAGCGGTCCTTGGGGGCTTTCTCGTGCAGCTTCTCGCAGTAGATAAGGGAGCGACGCGTGGATATGGGCAGCAGGAAGAGACGCATCGTGGGAGGGGAGGATGAGGACCGTGGGGTCGCGGGGCAGAGGGTCTTGGTGTTTAGGTAAGCGCAATGGCTGCGCGTATTTAATCGCGATTTAACAAACTCTCGCGGCAGGTGTGCGAGACATGACGCAGGTCGAGTCGCGTAGAGACCAAGGCACCGAAATCGCTAGCTAGGTGTCGTATCGTCGGAATTTGACGACGGGCTACTGCGGACCCATGACCTCACCCCAGGCTGTTTTCCTGGCTAAGCATGCTGCCAGCGCGCAATCCCTGTTTCCCTGATCGACGAACAAGCAATCTCCCCTACGACGCCAACACGCGCACGCACCCAACGCTCCACCACCCCCAGGCGCACCACCAAACTCTAACCATCTCGTCGTTCGCTGTTTCCTTGTCTTGTTTACCCGCACTGTTGCACTGCGCCCCGTCACTTCCTAAGCCGGACATGGTGTCGTTGCGACTCGTCTACTTTGCTCCCACGTAATCTCCCCCGGTGCTGATTCACTGCCAAGCCCTCAAAGCTTGCTGCGTGCAGGCAGGCGCGACACACCGGCTGGTGCTTGGTGGTGCGACGAGGAAGCCCCTCACATCTCCCCAAAGAATGACCAGCACGCCCATGGTTGAGCCCCGAAAGAGCGACCCGGGCCATGGTACCAGCAGCAGCAGCAGCAATGGGCACCTCCGCCCCGACGCCGCCGCCCAGGGGAGCAGCCAGACCTCGCAGGCCTCGACGCTGAACTCGTCCCACTCCAACGGCCACCGCCTGCTGCCCTCGCCCATTCCGCCCCCGACCGCCTCGTCCCTCACCTCGACCCAGCGCCCCCAGTCGCGAGTCAGCGCCGTCTCCGGCAACTCCAAGGACAGTCACGACGGCCTGCCCCCCGTCCGCAAGAGCCACTCGCAGTCGATATCCAGCACTCCACGCACGCTGGCGTCCTCTAACCGGAGCATAACCGCGAGCGCGGAGAACAGGGAGAGGCAGCGCGCCGTCCGCTCACTACCGCCCTGGGTCCAGTCCGCCGACGACGAAGACGAGAATGTAGACGCCTCCTCGCTCCTCCTACCACGGACGCCCACCAACGTCCGCCATGCCAACCACAACTTCTGCCCGACGCCCAAGTCCAGCGTGCCAGGCCGCAAGTTCGACCATGCTCGCGAGGGCGCCCCCGTGACCCTCTCGACGCCCGTCAGTGACAGCGCACCCAAGTGGAAGCAGTTCACCCAGGCCTCCAACCACGACCGCCCCATCTCCTCGCGCGGCCAGATCGTCGACGATGACTGGCTCAAGGAGAACATGCCCGATCTCGAGCAGAAGTGGGAGCCCATCGACAACGGCCTCGGCGACGAGCACATCAAGGGCTTCTGGCTCTTCACCTCGGAGAAGAGAAAGCGCCGTCTGATGCGCTTCCACAACACCATCATGAACCACCCCATGGTTCCCGCCTTGGTCCGCGCCATTGTCCTTGTCTTCTCCATCCTCGCCCTCTCCCTCGCCTGCTCCATTTACCGCCACTCGGACAACAACGGCTGCAGCAACAACTCGTCTACCTGGATGGCCATACTCGTCGACATTGTAGCCGTCCTATACACCATATACATCACCTACGACGAATACACTTCCAAGCCCCTCGGCCTACGCTCGCCCAATGCCAAAATGTCGCTGATCTTTCTCGATCTGGCCTTCATCGTCTTCGAGTCGGCGAACCTTAGTTTGGCTTTCCAGGCCCTGACGGACGACAAATGGGCATGTGTTGAGTCAGACCGGACAAATGCGTGTCCGTACCGACAGAGCATTTGTGAGAGGCAGAAGGGCTTGACAGCGACACTGTTGATTGCATTGCTTGCATGGATTGCTACTTTCTCCATCAGCACGCTGAGGTAAGTTTACACACTCAAGCAACCCCACGGCTGCGTTCTTTACTAATCCACCACAGGTTGATCCACCGTGTAGCGAGGTAGTGCCTCAAACACCTCCATACATTCTCCTCCACTCCCTCGGCCCTTCCACCACGCCACCTATATCCCCACACTACATTCCGACCCTTCAGCTTGACTGATCCACCTTTTGCATAGTACCAAGGAGCACGACCACCTCTTACACATGTCGGCCTTGTCCCCCCGGCGGCGATACCCTCTCCATTCGCACTCTTTCCGTTTTCCTAGTCGACTCCGTTCTCGCACCCCCTCCGTTAGGTCCTTTTACTCTTGAAAGCTATGCATAGCTGCGGCGTTTTGGGTTTCCTTGTCCCTGCATATTCCCTCAATCGACGATTTCCCCAAACCAGTTGTTTTCTCTTTTTTTCTTATACACTTTGGGGCTTTCTTCGTGCCACTTTAGGGTTGACTGGGTGTACATAGGGTGTTGTTTTGAGGACTTGGGACGGCCTAGAGGCAATAGCATAGTACAGAGTGATTAGTATAATCCACAAAATCAATGAAACAGGTCAAACACTCATTTGCAGAAGATATCCTACTTGTGATGGAAGGCTGTATGTTCCCCACACGATTGTAGGCTTCTGGCTATATTGCTTTTCAGCCGAGATCTTACTTCATGACCGTGCTCAATTCAGCCACTATGCCAATCTAAGCAGAATGCCCCAAATGTTCAAATCCCAGTCCAGCAAACCCATCCATCCGCCCATAGCTCCATGCCTTAGCACCCTCACATACAGCTAAACCCCCCATCAACCGGCAGCCCAATACCCGTGACCCACGCCGCATCCTCACTAGCCAAGAACACCGCCGCCCTCGCAATATCCTGCGGCGTACCCAGTCCACCAAACGGATGTCTTGTCTCGACCTCTTTCTTCGAATCCGCTGCTTCAGGCGTGAGTAGCGAGGATATAAAGGCCGTAGCTGTGTAACCGGGACAGAGAGCGTTGACATGGATACGATAGGGCGCGCAGTCCAGCGCAGCAGACTTTGTGAGACCCATTACCGCATGTTTGGAGGCCGCGTAGCCCGCTAGTAGAATGTCAGCTTTCCGTCTATTCACAGACTCAACGTCGCATGTTCAACAAGGACAAAAACGGAACGAAAGAACTTACAGGTCCCCGAAGTCCCCCTCAACCCATAAACACTACTCAAATTAATAATCCAGCCTCTATCCCCCCTCTCCCCCGGTTCCTGCCCCACCATCTGCCTACTCGCGTACTTCGTCCCGAGGAAAACCCCCTTGATATTAACATCGACGGTGCGCTCAAACGCCGCTTCTTCGTATTCCCACACAGGCCGACTGCCATGCTCACCCGTCTCCATGCTAATCCCCGCGTTGTTCACCATAATGTCGATTCTGCCGTACTCTTGCACTGCGGTCTGGATCAGGGCTTGGATGTCGGTTGAGGAGGTGGTGTCGCATTTTACGAAGAGGGCTTTTGCGCCGAGGGCGTGGGCGGCGGCGACGGTGGTGGTGCTGGGGGAGGTGTCTGTGGCGTATTCTGATCGCGGCGTTTCGGTTATGTCGGAGCAGATTAGGGAGGCGCCTTCTGAGGCGAAGGCTAGGGCTGTGGCGCGGCCGATGCCTGAGGAGGAGCCGGTTATTACGGCGATTTTGTTGTGGAGGCGGGGTGGCATCGTGGAGAGTGTAGTGGTAGACTTGTTTGAAGTTGGGGTGAAGTTGGTGGATGATGATGGTTTTGATTGTCTGTGTTTGCTGTGGGGTAACCGGTGTATTGCAGGAAGAGGAAGAGACTTGAGGTAGATAGGAAGAGGAGGCGAAAGAGAAAGAAGAATGGTGACAAGGAGAAGTAAAGTTGAAATGATAGTAGGATGAGAACATATACTAATCTGTCCAAGTGACTATCAAGCGAACGGGCGTATCTAGTGAGGGGTTGGTCTATGCGGAGAAAGTACATCCTCGGTCCTGGAGTAAGATTAGGCAAACAGGTCTACTAGCAGAGGCCTTCACTGGTGGATTTCTATGGAGTGAAATTGAAGCGAGGCACCTGATTCTGCGTCAATCGTATCCCGGGGCGTAAAGTGACAACTCAATACATTCCGCGTCAAGGTCGCGTACGAGGTAGCGCGAAATGTGGCGTTTGTTATTGGGCTGACAGCTTCGCGTAAAAAGTGTATTCTCGTCTGCCTGATAGACCCATGAATACGGCTCTTTGTACTATGCATGTACGCATGCGCATGTATCCGTAAGTAGCAAATGGTATGAGGTTGGCTCTTTCGCCAGTACTGGTAGTTGCCGAGGTCCTAGGCTGGGGTAGGCAAGCAGAATACGACTCAGCATGGGTCAGAGGTCTAGATTGAGTGCTGCAGGGGATCATACTAGCGATTTATATGGTATTGTAAAGCTGGCGGAAGCTGGTATGCAGCAATGGATGGTGGGGTCGTGGGGTAATCCGGAAAGCGCGTTGCCCGACAGGGATCACCCGAGTAGCCTCACATGCACGTCATAATGTAGATTTGCTTCATGCGACAATACAGCATATTCGCAACCCGATTTTCTCTACATCTTAACTTGGAAACACACAGATATTCGATTCAGGATGTCAGCACAACCCAACAAGGACGAGCCTTTTCCATGGCACCTCGGAGTCTACGACGCACACTGCCACCCCACAGACACCATGTCGAGCATCGAAACCATCCAAAACATGAAAGCGCGCATCCTCACCGTAATGGCAACCAGAGCGGAAGACCAAGAACTCGTCTTAGCCACCGCAAATAAGCACAGCATCCGATCGGCCAACCCATCCCAATGGACAAAAGAAGAATGCATCGTCCCCTGCTTCGGCTGGCATCCTTGGTTCTCTTATCAAATGTACATCTCCGAGCCTGACTCCAGCGGCGAAGATGAGCAACAAGACCAAGGTCCCCTAACTGGCCAGGCCAAAATCTCCCACTACCAATCCGTCCTACAACCCCACCGCCCGCACCCCAGCCCCTCAGACCTCCAAACCTACGCCTCTCTCCCCGACCCCACACCCTTCTCCTCCTTCCTCGCCCTCACCCGCCAACACCTCCTCCAACACCCCTTCGCGCTAATCGGCGAAATCGGACTCGACCGCTCCTTCCGCATCCCGGAGTCCTGGACCGGCAACCCCGATCTCTGGGCGAAGCGCAACAGCAATCTCACGCCTGGAGGCCGCGAAGGGAGGCGGCTGACGCCTTTCCGATGTAGTCCTGCGCACCAGAAGAGCGTTTTTAGGAAACAGCTTGATCTTGCGGCGGAGGTGGGCAGGGCGGTTAGTGTGCATGGGGTGCAGGCTCATGGGCTGGTTTTGGAGGTGCTGGCTGAGACGTGGAAGGGGTGCGAGAGGCTGGTTTTGAGTAAGAGGGAGAGGAAGAAGAGGGGGAGGGATCATCCGGGTGCGGAGGCGGCGTTGGAGGCTGATGAGGCGGGTGATGGCGATGGTGGTGACGGTGCTGGTGCGAAGGACGAGAGTCCTAAGCCGTATCCGCCGCGCATATGTCTGCATTCATATTCTGGTTCTCCGTCGAATTTTGCGCAGTACTTGCGTCCGGAGATTCCTTGTAAGATCTTTGCTTCGTTTAGTACGGCGATTAACCTGTCGGATGTGTTGGATGAGGAAGAGACGCCGCAGGCTTTTCAGGATATTATTAAGATGGTGCCGGATGATATGTTGCTTGTGGAAAGCGATTTGCATACTGCGGGGGATGAGATGGATAGGAGATTGGAAGATATCATACGGAGGATATGTGGGATCAAAGGATGGGGGCTGGAGGAGGGTGTGAAGAGGCTGGGGAGCAATTGGAAGGCCTTTGTCTTCGGAGAGGGCTGGTGTACTTCAATACATTTTTGAGTTTTGTATAAATTTCCATGAGGAGGTGGGGAGGTATTCAGTCAGATCTGCTGTTATGGCCATTGAGGTCACGAGATGCTGAAGTACACCTGGCCTGTTCATCAGGGTTCTGTACAAACTCTGTTGATGTGATGTAGCCATTATAGATCACTCAGAATTCAGATATTTATGGCAAATTTCATCATATTTTGCCATCGAGACCAGCTATTAGGTAGATCTAGCAGTCATATCCGTATCATCTCAACCCATTACACACCAGTATCATCCCGTCTCATCTCAAATCAGACCAACTCCAACTCCTTATGCATCTCGAATACCTGAGCCTGAGTGCCAGACAGCGCCATAGCAGCGGCCAGATCCTCCTTGAAACCCACCTGGGGGCCAACATCATCCACCTCCTCCATGACTTCACCGTACTCGTCTGTCCACATCGTGACTCGCTTGTGCTTCTCGTCGTAGTTCCAATCGGCATAGTATACCTCGTTGACTGCAGTGCGTGGGTGGTAAAACGATACCTTCTTCAGAGCCTGCGGGCCGGCCCAACCAGGGATGTGCTCGCCAGGGTACAGCTTGCGAGTCCGAATCGTCTTCAAGTTGGGCAGCTTGGCGAGTACAAGGCCTATTCAAGAGTTAGCTGTGTTGCTCTTGCATAGTCCGGGTAGACTTTGCAGCATGTTAGATGGGAAAAGACTTACTGAGCATGGTACGGTATGCGCCAGTGTGACAGAATGAGTGGTTGGCCCGGCTCCAGTGCTCGTGCTCATCGTTGGCGAACTCCACGATCTTTGCATCTTCATACCACTGCTCTTCGGTTGGCTCTGGCATGCCGGGCAACTTGAGAATGCGAACATGGTCCCAAGAGTGGCGGTAGCTGAACTCCGGGGCTGCCGGTCCCTCGCCAATCAAGGTGATTGTTCGGATCCTCTCAGGATACGCATCATCCAACCCAACTCCAATGAAGAACGCTGCAACGCTTGCGAAAGTAGGAAAGATGACGACGTTCTCAGTAACAGAAATCTTCTTACCGTATGTGAACGACACAGCCTCCTTGATGCGCTTGTTGACAAAACGCATCTCGTTGAGGTCCGTGACGCTGAGATAGTCACCGATCTCGGCAAACACCTCAAATGGGAGCCTCAAGATACCCTAAATTCGTTGTGAATTCAAGGTCATCGGGTAGAAGAGAGATGATGCGGATGGATGAACGAGATAAGAGAAATGAAGACGGTAGGAGAAGCAGAGGAAGATAAAGAAAGAACTGATGAACTTACCTCGGCAGCAGCGGTGGCATTGGCGGTATCATCGGCCTTTTCATCATCAGAGGGAATCAACTTGGTAGCAAACCAAGTGCAAGGGTTGATGCCGAGGTCTGTACATGTCAGCATGCGCTGAAGCGACTAAGACAGAACAGATCTGACCTTCAATGGTCAAACCGCGCTTCTTGAGGTCTTCGCCAAGTTTTGCAATGAACGCTGAAGCTATTAGCAGAGTCTAAGCAGCGTTGAGTGTGAAGTGAGATTACCCTCGAGATGGGTACCGACGAGCGCGTTCAGAGCGACTTTGGCGGCGTGCAAAGCCTTCTTGGCATTCATAGCGATAATTTTCTCGACTCTGGCAACTGATTGAGCCTGATCGGCGATCTTTCGAGCGTTGTCGGAAACTCTAAGAGCCTGGTCGGTTGCTTGCACGACCGACGCCAGGTCAATCTTCTCGGGGCCAGATAGCGCATCGCCCGCGAACAGAGATGTTGATGTGCCGGACATCGTGAGGCAAGGTATCTCAAGGTATGGGTAGGAGCAAGGAAGATGGAAGCTGTCAAAGGCAAAGCTTTGATCAAAGTAGACGAAGTGTCAACTCAAGGGTGGGGTGGGGTGAGGAGGTAGAGGGAGGCGCGGGGAGCAAGCCTTTATATAGCAGAGATTTAAGCAGCTTAAGCTCGGGCCCAAGACGCGTCTCGCGTGCTCCAGGCAGCTTTGTTGACAACGGTGAACGTGAGAGGCGTTTATCAAAACAAGAGACGCGTGGTGAGGAGCGGGAGCGCGGGCGGTGAACGCAGTGCGGAGGCTGAATCGGGGTTCACCGGGAGCGAGAGGACGGGTATGTTGGCAAGTGAGAACATCAAAAGCCTCGCAGAATGCATCGGTAGCTATTTATGTTTGGATGCGATGCCGGCGTTGCCCAAACACCCGGCGGCGTTGCCATGGTTTTGGAGGGAAGTGAGATGGTGAGTAGTATGGACGCTTGTGCCAATTGCGACACGACCGTGGCGAGAAAAGGTTGCATCGAGTACTGCACTTGCACTTGAGCGCATTGCGATCTTGCTTCGTAGCCGCCATGGCATGGATGGTCGAAGTGGCCACCGAAGCCGGAGCAAGAACAAACGCACACACCGCATGTCCTCAATGAGCATCCTCAGTATGCAAGCGAGTGATACGGCGCACATGAGTAGACCGCTTGGACATGGACAGTCAAGTGGATTAGTCTACTTCGCCAGGCCTGGCCACATCCTGCTGGTATGGAACAATCTCCGCTCCGGAGCCTGCAAAGCATAACACTCGATGAAGAAAGAAGGGAGAAAAGGAAGACGCAATGCAAGGTAACTAGGATGCGATAAGAATGAAATGTGAAGAATACACCTACCTTTACGGCCCGCCATACTATGTCAAACTGCATGTTAGTCTTCAGTACAACTTCCGTGCCCGAAGGATCAATGGCATTATAAGTTCTTGTTCGAGTAAGACGAGCATGGCCAAGCGACTGACGAGACAAGAGAGAGGGTTTGGCAATATCATGAGGGGCGATTACTATCGCAGCGACAGATTCGAAGTTGGGGGAGAAGGAAGAGTGGTGACAATCAGACGTCTGACGAGGCTCGAGACGGCCAAGACGCTAATGACTAAACTGCCCTTCTCCACCAACGATGCGCACGTACGACAGATACACAGCTAATCAATCTGCCTCCTTTCACATCAGACACCTCTGAATATAATGAACGATGTAAACAGAGTCTCAAGGCCCAAGAAACTAGTCTATCCGTTCAGATGCACACCAGAACAAGTCAGATACCATATATTTACTTCGCCGAAACGAACGCTATAGATCGCTGCATCAAATTGCCGCTCTTATAACTGTGCGAACGCTAGTACCCTCTATGCCTGGCCATAGTCGTTACTCTTTCATTCCTTCCCAACACCCTCCTTGTCTTTCTCCGCATCAAAGAACAAGCTTCTCCTCTTGACATCCGGCGGCGGCGGACTAGCCGGGGTATCACCAACAACCGCCTCCTTATCTCTCTTGAAGTCCTCCGCTCTCTTGAGATCACCCGGCGGAGGCGAAGATACGGGTGTCTTTGTCCCCCATCCTTTTCTCTTCTCGCTCGCCCAGGTGCCCCAGCTGGAGAAGTAGGCGCCCGCGCTAGCTTTTGCGTTCGTGAGGTCGGGGGCTTGAGGAGCTTTCCCTGTTCAATTATCAGCATTGATGTTCCAGTAAAAGCGGCATATCTGACTTACACTTCTTTGCATCATCGACGGGCCTTCCTTCTTTCTCAGCTTGCAATCGCGCTTCCTCGGCCCTTTTCCTCTGTGCCTCGCGCATGGCTTCCATCTCCGCCCACAGGCGGTTGTATGCAGAGCTGACCTTCTGTTGGCCCACAGCAAGCTGTTTACCCAAGACTTCCCTAGACTTTTCTAGTCGTTCGTCGAGATGCATTTCTGCTACCTGCCTAATCGCCAAGCGAGCATCAGCACACATACGCCAAGAGATACGGCTTGGAAGGTTGTGTTGGAGAACAGACTAAGTGAGTGCTTTAGTCGGGCTTGTGGGGATATGGAAAGAATGCGGGTACGTACTGTGCTAGTCGGCGTTGAACGTCTTCCATTGAGAGACCGCCAGAGCAGGGGTGTTTGGGATCAACGATGTCGAAAAGGTGAGAATCGGTAAACTTATTCCAGATGCGAAAGTTCTCCGTCTGCATCCAGGCGTGTACCCAATCATTTGAGAACTCGCTCGCTGGGTCTCCTTCTACTTCAGAAATCAAGTTCTCTTTGTGTGCGTTCTTCTCCATGTAAAGCTTATACTTGACGGAGCTGAGCATGGCGAGCAGGTACTCTTCGAATTGCATGCGAATGAACTCCTCGCTTCCGGCGTATCCATGGTCCTTGGGTCGCGCTGGGTCTGCCTCATCCCAGGTATCGTTGATCGTCTGTGTCAAGAAGTCCATCCATCTCCGGTCCGGCGTGGACAAGATCGATGCTTGTCGGAGTGCAGCTGAGGTGATGTTTACGGTGTGGTCATCGAGGTTGATGAGGATGTCGCTGTATCGATCTCTTTGCTGAAGCAGCAGCGAGTTCGTAGAGCCGACGATGTAGGACTTGGTATCTTGGTCTGCAAGTATATCAAGCTGCTGAAGCGGTGTGTATGGTCCGAACAGCGAGCCTGTACCGAAGAGTTGGAGCGGGAGACCCATGTATGCCAACACTGAATCTTGTCAGTATATCGCTTCTATTGGTGAGATTATGCACTGACAGGAAGCGCGCTCCGATGTCTTTAATGAAGTGGGCATGACACACTTTTCCTCACACGAATTGAACTTGGGATCAGCAGCATCTTGTAGGTGGCGAATAAGGCCGGGTATCAGTGAAATAAGAGCAAATTGCATCATGCATAATCGTTCGCAATGGGAGCCGAAGAAGAGGACCTGCACTCCGTCAGTAATCTTGTATGCTCGTGCCACAATATGTCGGCTTCAAGACGTTGAAACATACCTTCGGTTGAAGTAGCGCGCATTTGAAAAGAACCAAAGTCTGCCATTTGAACTCGTGGATTAACTCGCGCAGAGAAATACCGAAGTAATGGTCCTGCTGCCCCTCCTGATTCTTAAGCAGTTGGGGTAGACTTTCCGTAAAGCGCTCCAATATCTCGATATCGGTGAAGTCTCTGAAGAAGTGTGAGTTTCACGTCGCCCTCGACTTGCGCTATGAGAGCCCGACGTACTTCTGATTGAACCACAGCTGGGTGACCACACCCAGCTGCGCTTTTATGGCCCCAAAGTGCTGCGGGCTATCGCTAATGACAACGACAGCCTTTTGCACCGTACTCCTTGTAACTTCAGCCGGCCGATCGATAAGCTTGCTGGCGTCGAGTTGTCGCGTACACGATATACCGAAGAGTGAGGTAGCGGGTGAGGTCGATGTCTGAGCGCGGCGGAGGGTGAAGTACGAGTAGTCTTCGGCAGAGGCATGCGCGCCATCGCTCAGGGCCATGAAGGGCAGCAGCGACCAGTCGTTGTCTACTGCTGGGTCGGTTCCCTCTTCTGCCCCGAGCCATGTTTCCACTTCTGGACCTCTGCGTTGAATAGTCAGCGATTCATTCGCATCAGATAGCCATCAAGTTATCGTGAGTTGTCCAGTATCCTTCCTCCGTCTCTTTCTGTACTCACACCTCTACTGGTAAAGGAGAAGCTTACCGCGCATGGTGGAAGTCCACGACGCAGACAAGTGGGTTGAGAGTCGCCATTGTCGTGCGATGGAAGCGCTATCGCATAGCATTCAGTTTATATGCAAACAAAGGTTGTAGGGCCATAGGGGCCAGGCTCGCGTCCTGGAGTCGTTGCGGACGCGCTCAGAGCGGTGACGAAACAGCGGTCCCACGGTCCCTCAATCAGCCTTATGGCGCTAGTGGAAGCCTCGGCGATCTCCACCCGTTCCCAGGTTGGGGAGTACGCCCGAGATCCTCCGCCACGGAGACCAGACAAGATCTGGAGAACTTTCTGATCTGCCCTGTACATCATGCAGTCTTTTTTTTTTTGAGTACCTGCGATGCCACAACCGTTAGCGACGAATGCGATCATCGCATTGAAGCACAGTAATAATCAGACGTGTTCATCATGTCAAGGTGAAGAATAACGTATGTTTGATAATATGATTTCACATTCCTACCTAGGTCGACCATAGCCTTCAATTCCTCCATAACATTCCTTTCGTGTACCAGCCATGGTGATCCAAATGACAAAGATAAGCCCATGCCCCATCTACCGCGCACCTTCATGTCACATAGGTCCAACAGACGAGACCTTGGGAATCATTGGGAACAGCAACTCCGCCTGCGCCAGGCAGATGATACGTCGAGCCTCGGCAACTGCACTTCGTTGTCTTGGAGACTGAAAATTGTTGTAGCTCGAGATTGGTAGACATTATGTGTATTTAGCTGCCGTTGTTCTCCTCCTGTGCCGCCGCATCTACGTTGTGGTAGTCCAGGATTTCAGAGTACCTGTGTCATGTTAGCTCCGTCTACGTGACGTACTGGAAGTGCACGTACATCATGATTTTCCAGGTGTCGACGGGTAGGTCTGCATCGTTGAACGACCAGTCGAACTTCTCCTCCGCGACTGGCTCATCAGTCGGGTCGTGGTATGGAGCGAGGTATGGGTGGGCAAGGGCCTGCTCCGCTCGCACACGCTTCTTCGGGTCAAAGACCAACATGTTCTCTAGGAGATCGACGGCTAGATTATGTCAGTCCACGCTCTCTTCATTAGAGATGCAAACTGACCTTGAGGCTCGGCGTTCTTGAACTTGTTGGAGAGGGGTTGTCGTTCGCGCTTGGGAAGTGACTGGACGAATCGCAGTGTCTGCGGAAGTCAGCAAAGTTGCTTCCCAGGTTTTTGTGCATCTACTTACGTTTTCACTGCAAATGGTCTGGATCACATCGTCTGGGGGAGTACCCAGAAGCTCGGTGATGATGGAGAACTGGTTCACGTGGTCCTTGC